TTCAAGGGTGGGGTTGCTGATATAATCAGGCTGTGTACAGAACCTGGATTCCTTTCATCTGGCCTCAGCTGATCTCCTAATCGTCTCTGAAGAATGCTTCCTCAAGTGAATGCTTCTTCATCTTCCATTTGTTGGCGGTTTTAGTTCTGCAGAAAAGCTCAAAGCTATTGTTCTGTGCATCCCTTGAGGTGGAACCAGGATCCTCTCCCAAGGCTTCTACTGTTTCTTGACTGCTCCCCCCTTGTCTCTGCATTCCCCCCCTTCCTTGCTTAGCAACTAGGTGAACCTGCCCTGTGGAAGGTCAGAGGCTGAACAGAAAGGGTCCCATACCCAGGAGCCCTACAGGGTCCTGCTCAGTTTCCGCAGCAGCATTTGGGTCAGTGAGCCCTGGCGCCAGTCCTGAGGATCTTCCATCCCTGGGTGGACAGCCTGTCTGGTCACCTTCTTCATCTCCATTCACTTTCTCTGCTTCCCAGCAGAAACCCACCTCATCCTCTGTGGGCCTTATCATCACCTAGAGCTATTCCACCTCTGAAATTCTTGCTGTAGGCATCCAGTTTTAGACCATGTTCTCCTCAGTTATTCCCAACTCGTGTCATCTATCTTCCTGAGCCTCCAGACCAGCTCTGTTCAATAGAACTTTCTATGGTGATAGAAGTGTTCTTTATCGATGCTCTCTCTCCAATTCAGGGCAACAGAGGAACTGAGCTTTAAATTTTAATGCATTGTAGCTCATTCAAATTGAAATGAAATGAGCCATGTGTGATTACTATTTATTTGTCCATACCGAGTCTTAGCTGTGGCATGCAGGATCTTTTAGTTTCAGCATTTGAATTCTTGGTTGTGGCCTGTGGGATCTAGTTCCTCGACCAGAGATCGAACCTGTACCCCCTGCCTTGGGAGCATACAGTCTCAGCCACTGGACCACCAGGAAAGTCCCCTGGTTACTGTCTTGAAAAGTGAACGTGTTAGTTGCTCAGTTTTGTCCGACTCTGTGACCCCATGGACTGTAGCCCACAAGGCTCCTCTGTCCATGGAATTCTCCAGGTAAGAATACTGGAGTGAGTTGCCAATTCCTTCTCCAGGGGATCTTCCCAACCCAGGGATCAAACCCAGGTCTCCTGCATTGCAGACAGACTTTTTTTTTTACTGTCTGAGCCACCAGCACAGCTATAGATCCTGGCCTTTCTGTTTCCTCTGCCGTTGGTGGCCTGTCTTCACTACCTTTTCTCTTGAGTTTTGTTTCTGTTGTCCATCACATCAGCCAACTTCTTCCCTTTGTCCCTCTGCCCCACCTCCTGGGGGAAAAAAAAACAACAACAACCTTCAACTATGGATTAATCGGGTTATTCTGCTTTCCCCAGGTCTACACAGTGGCCACTGAGCATTGCTGGGGCATGACTTTCCTGGGTGGCATTCTTTCTCCTGGATGGTCACCAACTTCAATAGGTCTTTGAATTCTGACCGGCCTGCATTGTCCCCTTCTCATTAATGACCCAATCAAGACTTCCTGCCTTTCCAAATCTGCTCCCTTGCTCTCAGCAGGTGGCGTTACTTCTTATGTCTTTGAAACAAGAGACGCTTTCAGACCACCTGACCACCCCTTTTACGAGGCTAGTTTTATCTGTCTTCAACCTCCTTCTTCTCCTTCCTATCAACATTTAGGCACGTTCAAATAGCCTTATCTTATAAACAACAATAAAAAATCTCAAGCTTCCTTCAATCCCATGTCACCTTCCAATCACCCTATCTCTTTCCTGCCACTTGTTTTCACACTTCTGGAAACTTGTCTTCACTGGCTATCTGCACTTTCTCACCTCCCATTCACTCCATAACCTGGGGCGGTCTGGCTTGTGTCCCCATCACTCTTTTGCCACTACCAGTCAAGGTCACCAAGGACTTCCTTGTCATTCAATCCAAAGGACTCTTTCAGATCTTATCTTGACCTTGAAGGCATGTGACACTGCTCACACTTCTCCTTGCTTGAAACTTGCCCACTGGTTTCTAGGACACCTGAGTCTCCTGCTTTTCTTCCTCTGATTCTGGGTATGGTGTTCCTTGGTGGTTCAGCATTAAAGAATCCATGTGACAATGAAGGAGACATGGGTTTGATCCCTGAGTCAGGAAGATCCCCTGGAGGATGGCAACCCACTCCAGTATTCTTGCCTGGGAAATCCCATGGACAGAGGAGCCTGGTGGGCTACAGTCCACGGGGTCACAAAAGAGTCAGACATGACTTAGTGACTAAACACCACCACCACCACTATTCTGGCTACTTCTAAGTTTTCTGAAACTTCCACATTCTCATCTTCCTAGGGTGATTCTCAGGCTTCCCAGGTAAGGCTTAGGTGTCAAAAATGGTGTGCTGCCCTCCACCCCCCACTCCACCCCCTGACTGCATTCCTGGCCCAAACACCTGGGAATGTGTTTTCTCACCCAAGAAATTCACTGTGGTGTTCTGAACATCAGTTTGTATTGTGAATCCCATTGCTCAGAGCCTGACACGCCTTTTTGGGTGTGTATTTATAACTGTCACTTTGAGAGGCTCTCACAACACTTGGACATCTGTTTTTTTCATTTGCTTCCTCAAAGGACAGTATGCTTAGGGACACTGACAAATTAAGAGGACGTCAGGAGAGGCTACAGGGTGGGTGGTCAGCAAAGTGTCCTGTGAGAACTCATTGAAAGAACTGGGGGACTTCCCTGGCAGTCCGATGGTTAAGACTCCACGCTTCCCCTGCAGAGGGCCCAGGTTCGATCCCTGGTCAGGGAACTAGAGCTTTTCTGCCTGCCACAACGAAGACCTAGCACAGCCAAGCAAATAAATAGATTATTTTAAAAAAAACCTCTGGGACAGAAACAACATAGCCGAAGGAAGTCTTCAGAGCCCTAGCCAATCTGGTCTTAAAGATATTCCAAACTAGACCATGTTGGGTAGGAAGGGAGTGGGGTAGCCCGGTGTGCCTTCTTCAGACCCGTCCCTGTCAGGCCATCTTCTTGACTCACATTCTGGTGTGATGCTATCAGCTTACATGATGGCCCATCACAGAAATCTTCCGTGAAGTTTGGGGATGCTGAGGGTGTCTGCTCGTTACCTCACACTGTGGTCTCTTTAGGAGGCCCTCCAGGACAAATTCCTGACTGATTTTAGTACTAAGAATAGTTGTAATTCTTTTGAGTAATAGGTCTGTTTTTATCTCACAGGCACTGGAAATTGTGTGACTGACATTCTCTCCTTTTCACTTGGGCTTTGGAAAAGCTTCAGGACAAATTTGTGGCCCACCCCCAGGAAGTGAATAGGGCAGCCCCAGAGCCATTTTACTTTTATTCCCACCTCTGCTTTGTCTTCCCTTGTGGTTTTTCTTTCTTCTCTTAGCTCTCCTTATTTTATCATACACAATCAAGAAGAGGCAAGCAAAAATAAACCAAAATCGCTTGTAACCTCACTATCCAGAGATACCCACAATTATCAATGTTGTCCTTTTATGCATATTTTAAAAAAATAAAAATGAGAGGATACCATGCGTACCTTTTGGGGGGGCATAGTGTTTTGTAATTTGCTTTTTTTATTTTATAATATGTCACCAATATCTTTCCATGTAATTAAATGTTCTTCCTTAAATAACTTAAAGTTTCTATGAAGATCGAGTAATGTCATACTACCAACTAACATGTCTACATCCACTTGGGTGCCTGGCTTTATGTACAGTCACATATACATGTATATGAAAGTACACCCACGGAGATGATCTAAGGACAATATTTGTGTACACATATTAGAAGCTATAACATTCACATGTGTTAACTCATCTGATGCTCACAACCCTATGAGGTAGACCTTATTGTCCCCCTTTTATAAATGAAGAAACCAAGGCACAGAAAGATGCAAAAGTTGCCTAGGTCACACTCTTGACTCCAAAGGGTGTTGGAACTCCAAACCGCCACGTTGCCTTTCAGGACGCCATTGAGATTTCACAGTCCATGGGGTTAAACAGAAAAAAAGAAACATTTATCTTCTTCCACCTCACTTTCTAATTTATGTTATTTTGCCTTGTTTTAAGTACCCTTGTAAGTCACCTGAAATCCTCCTCTGCCACGGCATAAACAAACAGTGCAGAGAGTGGTACCCGGCACAAGAAGACAAAGTTAAAATTCTACCCCAGGGCAGAGGATAAATCCAGGCAGTCCTGCAATGAAGTGGATTTATTTCCTTGGGCTGCAGTGAACTTCCATCCCTAGAAGAGCTGGCTTGGGTGGCCATCTCTCAGGGAGGCTGGGGTAGGCACTCTTCCAAACAGACTGAGCTGGGCCAGACTAGCCCTGAGGCCCCTTCTTAGACTCCCAGAGTTTATGAAAATACCAATAAGACAAAACGAGACACTCAATGGGGCTAATGCAGCAAGCCAGCTGTTGGGCCGGAACCAGTATCCCAAGTTTTCAAGCCAGGCCTGTTACCAGCTCACTCATCTAAAAGTTAACAACTGGCAGTTCAGCTCAAAACTCTCAGCCCAGTGTATTCTTTCCCCTGAAGTGCTTTGGCTGCTGCTGTCACTGTCTTCAGCCCTTCAGTTAAGGTGGCAGAGAAGGAGGCAAGAAGCTGGGTGGCCACAAGGATGTCCCACTAGACTAGAATTGGGTGGGATGATCTGTTTGACGAATGTGAGGAGAGGAAGGAGCCAGCTTTCTATGGCTGTAAGATCTTAGGCAAGTCTCTTCACCTCCTGAGAACTGTTTCCTCCCTCATCTGCAAAATGGACTTTCACACCAACTCTGCAAAGCAGTTATGGGTTCCTAGCAGATAGTATGGGCTACAGCACCTTTGCACCCTGAGCCAGGAAGCACCTTATCAGGCTGCCGGTGGATCCGGGGAGGGTTAAGCCACCTCTAGCCCGAGGCCTGGGGGGTGCTGGCCAGTGTCCAGGTGCTGTCTAGTTTTGACCCTCTTTAGCCTCCAGCCCACCACAACTCCCCAGGTAGGAAAGGGGCTGCTTTCTCTACAGACAGGCCCACCGAATAGTGACAACTCTGAGGGGACGGGAGAGCCACTCTTTCCCTCCAGATGCCAGGGCTGCGGGTAGGAGGGGCGAGCCAGCAGAGGCTCCCTCTTCCTCACGATTCCGGGCTGTCTGCCCACGGGGCACGGCCCTGGACGCGGTGCCACGAGGGCCATCACGCTGGGTTAGAAGGAGGCCCGACCCCGGCTCAGCGAAGAAAACAAACACAGATGTGTTTGCCCGGGACCAGGAGGGAGAAAAATCGCCCCCTCTCCCTCGCCTGCGCGCTCCCCCGGGGCGTGGGGCCGGCGGAAACCTGCTGGGCTCCCGGGGCAGCGAGGAGCCGGGCGACGCGGACGGTCCCCGGCCGGCCCCTCCTCCCTCCGCGGGGTGCGCGTCGGGCCCAGCCCCCTCTCCGGGGTTTCCCCGGGCGCTCTCCTCGCTTCCCTTTGTCTCCGCTTCTCCTTCTCCGGCGCCCCGGTTCCCACCCGCTCGTACCCTCGCTCTCTCCGGGTCCCCGGCCGCTTCCCTTTAACTTTCTTCTTTCCCGGGGTGAAAACTTGGCTCGGGAGTCGGCGGCTGCCAGCCGACGTTATTGGCCGGCGCCCCGCCCGGCGGCCCCGCCCCCCGCCCCCGCGCTCCCCTCCGCCCCCCACTCCCTGCGCGAGTGGCGGCGGCGGCGGCGGCGGCGGAGCCTTCGGGGGCGTGCGTGCGTGTGTGAGTGCGCGCCAGCCAGCGGGAGTGTGTGCGCCCCGGGCGCGGGCTGGGCGGCACTCGCACCGCGGCGGCAGCGGCGGGAGCCGGGCGGCCGCGTCGTCATTCGGGCGGGAGAGGCGGCGGCGGCCGGGCCGGGCCGGGCCGGGGCTGGGGCAGCGGCGGCCGCGCCGGGCATGGAGCTGGCAAGCCCGCGCTGAGGCAGGACGCGCCTGCTAGCAGCCAGCGAGAGGCTCTCCGCCGTCCGGCGCGCGGGCTCCCCGGCCGGGGCCGGGCAAACTTTTCTTTCTCTTTTGCCCTCTCCTGAGGTAAAGTCCCGAACGCGGACTCGCCGGCCGAGGGTGCGATCTGGGCCAGCAGAGCGGGAAGCCCGGGCTGCTGGAGGAGGGGGCGCGGGCCGTGCGAGCTCAGGGGCTCTACGAGTTGTCCCGCGCCGGAATTGAGGGGTGCGGGCGGGGCGGCGGCGGACGAGCAGACGGGCGCGGGCAGGACCCTCGGGCGGCGTGGCGGTGGCGGGGAAACCGAGAGATTGCCCGCGGCCCCATTTCGCCGCCGGCGGGGAAGAGGAGGCGCGGGCAGTGCGGGGCCGGGGGTCCCCGGATTCGCCTGCCCCTGGGACGCGGGGGACCGAGGCGGGCGTTCGGTGCAGGGGAAGCCGGGCGCTCGCCCGCGTCCCCGCTCGCCGCCCCGCCGCGGGGTTGGAGGGCGCGGGGCAGGCTGGCTGAGTGCGGCTCCCCTCTCTCCGCAGGCGCCTTCTGCGGCGGGCGGACCGACTCCTCGGCGCGGCGGGGCCGGGGCAGGCTGGACGCAGCACGATGCGCGCAGTGTGGGAGGCGCTGGCGGCGCTGGCGGCCGTGGCGTGCCTGGTGGGCGCGGCGCGCGGCGGGCCCGGGCTCAGCATGTTCGCCGGCCAGGCGGCGCAGCCCGACCCCTGCTCGGACGAGAACGGCCACCCGCGCCGCTGCATCCCGGACTTTGTCAACGCGGCCTTCGGCAAGGACGTGCGCGTGTCCAGCACCTGCGGCCGGCCCCCGGCGCGCTACTGCGTGGTGAGCGAGCGCGGCGAGGAACGGCTGCGCTCCTGCCACCTCTGCAACGCGTCGGACCCCAAGAAGGCGCACCCGCCCGCCTTCCTCACCGATCTCAACAACCCGCACAACCTGACGTGCTGGCAGTCGGAGAACTACCTGCAGTTCCCGCACAACGTCACGCTCACGCTGTCGCTCGGCAAGAAGTTCGAGGTGACCTACGTGAGCCTGCAGTTCTGCTCGCCCCGGCCCGAGTCCATGGCCATCTACAAGTCCATGGACTACGGGCGCACGTGGGTGCCCTTTCAGTTCTACTCCACGCAGTGCCGCAAGATGTACAACCGGCCGCACCGCGCGCCCATCACCAAACAGAACGAGCAAGAGGCCGTGTGCACCGACTCACACACCGACATGCGTCCACTCTCGGGCGGCCTCATCGCCTTCAGCACGCTGGACGGGCGACCATCGGCGCACGACTTCGACAACTCGCCGGTGCTGCAGGACTGGGTTACGGCCACCGACATCCGCGTGGCTTTCAGCCGCCTGCACACGTTCGGCGACGAAAACGAGGACGACTCGGAGCTGGCGCGCGACTCGTACTTCTACGCCGTGTCCGACCTGCAGGTGGGCGGCCGCTGCAAGTGCAACGGCCACGCGGCCCGCTGCGTGCGCGACCGCGACGACAGTTTGGTGTGCGACTGCAGGCACAACACGGCCGGCCCGGAGTGTGACCGCTGCAAGCCCTTCCACTACGACCGGCCCTGGCAGCGCGCCACCGCCCGCGAGGCCAACGAGTGCGTGGGTGAGTGGGGCGCCACGGGGACGCGGGCCGGACCCGGGCGGGGCGGGGACCCAGGCGGCTGCTCCCGGGCCTAGCGATCGAGGGTTCCTGAGCGTTTCCCGCTGCGTGGATGTGGTGGGGATGGTGGGAGGCGCGTTCCGGGAGATCCTGGGCGGTGGGGCCGGTGGGGCCGGGAGAGCCGATCCACTCGAGCGCCTGACGATGGCCGATTGGGTTGGCCTCCTGTGCGCTGAGCTAAGACAAGCTGTTTGGTTTGCGGAAAATTTAGCGGTCAGTCCCCATAATCCCAGATCCAAGGCAGACACTGATTGCCTTCTCCTCAGTTTGGCGGGACTCTGGGATCCACACCCACCCCCCGCCCCCGCCCCAGGGCAGCAGCTGGTCTCGCAGTTGGGGACCCCGGCCCGGTTCCCAGGAAGTTCCAGCTCTCCGGCCACAAATCCCTTGGGAGGTGGCAAAGGGATTTGCAATTTGGGGCTAATTCGGTGCACGATGAACGTCACTCCTGCGTCCTCCATTTATCTTACAGTTTGAAAATAGATATAGTTTTTCTTTTGGATAGCGTGTTTGGGCTAGCAAAAGAATGATGTGATTTAAATTAATTATTATCTGCAGATTACAATAGAGAGTTCACTAATTATTTTAAACTAACTCAGTCCCGGTCCAAAAAAGAAGTGTACCAGATTTTCGTTGTTGTTGTTAGCATGGTGGGGGGGGGTGGTGGCTGTGTTGGGGTGAAATTAAAACAATTCCGACGAATTAACTAAGGGCCCAGATTCTTGATTTTATGGGGTTTCAGGTCCTGAAAGGGAAATCTCACAAAACCCTGTACTGGTGGATACTGTTGTGTCTGAAATGAGTCTTGAAAAAAAAAAAGAAGAAATCCATTCTGTTTCTGGATCATACAGCCAGAAACTGTATGTAGAAACTTGCTGCTGTAGAAATTCTGAGCCCTCAGTTTCTCCTCAGGAGGAGAAAAAGAAGAAAAGTAGAGGAAAGGTAGGTAGGGAGACCATACTCAGCTCTTCCAGTGTGAGATGTACAGGTACAAATCCCGCGCTTTATTTTAAGGAAAATCATTTAGTTCGGCCATCTGCCCTTGGGTGAAGTAGAGTCATTTCCTCCCCCTTCCACGCAGCCAGTGTGAGTCTCTTCAGTTGCCTCCGCCTCTGAGGCACATTACAAAGTTTGCTGGACCCCACAAACACACGTCTTGAGGTCTGGTTCTGATTAATTGTGTCATGTTGTTGTTGAATAGTTTGTGCCTCATGACTTGTGGATGCAGACTTTCTCGGAATGGAAAACATGTTTTGGAGAAGCCTGGTCGGCTCTGAGGCCCAGGCGGGCGTCCTGATCTGCAGAGGGCGGTTCTCCTGTTGCATGGCCCGATCTCCATTTTTGCACTCCATCCAAGGGTCCACTTCTGCAGACCTCATTGTCCTTCCCCCTCCTGTAAGGGATGCCACTGCTGGCTGGTCGGAAGAGACTTTTCAGGATTCTGGTGGTGAGACAGTGGTTACTCCCCGACTTAGTCGTCTTTGAGAATAGAACGCCTTTGATCTGCTCCATTCCTTCAGAAATGTTGGTTTTTCCCATCTCTTCTCTTTCTTCTCGCCTTTCCTCTTTTCTTTTCTTCCTTTTGTGAGTGAAAACCCTTTATTGATGTTTAAAAGGCCTCCCAGGGTTTGGCTATCTGTGTTAGCTTGTATGTGCATATGAAAGATAACGTCTCATCGTCACCAGCAGGGTCTGATTGGAAAACACGCAAGTGAATACATGGAGGCACATAAGCTGGCTATGATGGTAACATTTTCCTGGCTTGAAGATTCCTCTTAGCCGTGGTGGTATTGTTCCGATACCACCCATCTCCAGCTCTCCGTCACTTTGTATATAGAGAAGTAACCCGCAATTGTTTTAACAGTGGCCGTGCGCTTGAAATAATCTCCATAGTTGAGGATTTTGTCTTTTGACCAAAGCACTAACTCTGTGCACAAATTGGATTGATTGGGGGTTGTTTTTTTTAAGCCAAATTGAGCAATCAACATATTAACTAATGTAATTAGTAAGCCTTTTTATTCAAAAAGTTTAATTAGGCCTAATAAGTACATAATCTACATGACAAATAATCGGCTGACAATATTTTCTGGGTTTCACCGTAGTTATTTTAATTCTCAGTAGTTAAAGTATCTTTAAATCTTGCCAATTATTCAGTCATCTCATAAAAGCCAAGCCAATTCAATGATGTTAAAGTTATTTATAGTTTCCTTTTTGAATAGATGTTCTGATACCTTGTAGATGTAGCCTCGGGAATGTCAGGTTGAAGTTCCCATAAAGTCTTAATTGAAGTCTTAGTGATTTTTCCATCATTTCGCAAAAGAGAAAGCCAGCAAAGACAATTTAGAAGTGATTTACAATTAAAGGTCGAGCTTTTTATGAAAAGGCCCTGAAGTGGAGATACGTGAATGAATTAGTATTTGACAGGTGTTCTGAGACACTACAGGGCACTGTACTAGGAAAAGGCATTAATAAATCCTTCAAACGCTAACTTTTGTACTATCAGCGGCTCAGATCCACCCCCCCAACATAATCCTATCTTGTGAATTTCATACTGTTGACATAGAAAGTTAGGCTACCCAGATTATTTACAGCTAAGGCAAAGAAGTATATTTTCTACTCTAAAAATGTTTTGATTAAAAAATGAAACATTATCACTGTCTGTCTTTGCCTTTCTAAAATAATGAGACATGACATAATAAACTGACGTCGTTCCCTCAGTTAACTGTCTCACCGCCCGCTCATCCTAAAACTTTAAGAAAACATCGATATTATTATTTTTCTAAATAGTTCTATATAGGGCCAAGAAAATATTATATCCTATAGGTTTTTCTTTGGTCCAGCTTTCTTTTCAGGGTTATTTCAAGGTTGAGTTCTCTATGAAGTAAACATGAATTTTTATAAGGTCCAATTTAATTTTAAACGCAATTTTGGATT